CAAAAAGAAAAAAAAGGAAAAAAACTATAAAATAAAGTCTTCAATCAATTTAGAAGAAAATTTTGCTTTTGAGGGAACAATCTTTCTCACTAGGCTTTATTTTTATTGCTCTCATATTTGATTGATTGAAATCTTGGAGCTAGTTTATAGTAAGAGTAGTGGAATTTTGAATAGTCAATTAACCCTTCTTCTAATCATTGTCTGATTGTTTGATTGTCTATTAAATTTGACCTTTTCCTTTGAGTGACTTGCTACTTTCCAACTCCATGAGAGAAATCCTTTGCCTTAAATAGTTATTTACCTGTGAGAATATGAAGTTGAGGTTTTTACTTTGATTAATTCTCACGGCTATATATCTTGTGGTTTGTGATATGAACATTATGCTTAATTCACACACACACATACTCTCGGAAGTTATAATTGAAGTAATCTTGATTGCGACTGTGATCTTTTTTTCTAAATACCTAGCTAGTCCTTTTGAGCTGACCAGCACGCTTTCTTTCTTAATTCACGCTTGAATTGGTAGAGACTAGCAATCAGTTGGTTGGGGGTTGTGATGAAAGCATGAAAATGTATATTTAAAGTGTGCTCAACCATTGACATTTGTGAAATTATGAGTTTAAGAGTTGCATTTTTCTACAAGTAATTTCATAAGTGTTCATTTTATTTATTTATGTAACTTTCAGTCAAATCATATTTGTCCTAATTATTTTGATATGGGTCCTATAGCCATTTCAATTAGGGTTTTTGAAATTCTATAAATACTCATCTAAGTTCAAAATTTGAGGGGCTGGAGAAGCTGTTCCGATGACAAGAAAGGTGAGAGAGGAGCAGTAGACTTGATGATGAATGAAAGTCACAACAGAGGCTTCATTGCTATTGACATTTAATTTCAAAACTGCACTTTCTCACACATCGACGAAGATGAAGCCTCCATTGAATTTGATGAGTGTAATTAAAATGCACTCATCAAATTCAAATTCAAAGTTCTCAAAACACAACCTTAAATTCAATTACACATTGTGAAAATAAACAATAAATTCAATTACATTTTGTGAAAATAAACAATGATATATTAAATTTGAGATGTTGAAATTCAAATACATTATCTATCAAAAATCATGTTCATCAGTGGAACCAATTTTTCATCATATCAAGTGGAATATTAACAGAATTTAATACTTCACTGAGGAAATGGGTTGATGTGGAGGTGGTAATAGGTAGTGTAGGTTGTCTTGAGTCTTGATATAGACTGAGAATAAGGTATGTGGCAAGGAGGAGCCACACGAGCAAGGCAACCAAAGCAATAAATAGTTTGCTAATGAAAAGGAGTGAAATGACTGCCATAGAACCTGTCAGGATGGTAATAGTCCTTAGAGTGAAACTCCAATGGTGTGCGCAACAGTTGGGACAAGTGGTGTGGAGGCACATAAGGCCCGTAAAGCAAAACCACACGGAACATAGCCCATCTCTATCGTAATGGTGCTTGTCTGAATATTTATTGATATATCTTAAACAAACAAATAAAATATTTTTAATAAAATATTTCTTACTAAAAATTGTGATATTTGAATATTTATTGATATATCTCTATTGTAGTGGTGCTTGTCTGAATATTTATTGATATATCTTGAACATGCAAATAAAATATATTTCTTACTGAAAAACTGTGATAATAAACTATCATAGCCCATCTCCATCATAGTGGTGCTTGTTTGAATATTTATTGATATATCTTTGAACATGCAAATGAAATATTTCTCACTGAAAAACTGTGATAATAAATAAATCTCTATTTTTTAATTATGAAAAAGAAATAAAAATAATTAAGACTGACCTCAGAAGAATTTGGGGGTTGGGTGAACACACGTGGAAGGGTGGATGATTGGAGGACTACAATAAAAAGGTGGAGGAGGGGTGGATGTGTTTACACTATAAATTGCAAAAAATATTAAGATGATGCCTCATGTCAAAAATTTTAAATAGATGGTGGAGATCTAAGCCATATCAGATTTGTTATTTTAAGCCCCATGATAGATAAGTTGCCACATTGGAAAAAAGGAAATAAAAGATAAGGTTTATCTTTTAATTCTCTTTTTAAAGTTAAAATAGACCTGTTGTGGCTGAATTCCAGGAGGAAGTTGCGTTAGTGGGTATGGTTTATCATAAAATAATACAGGTGGCGAAATTTGGAAAGATATCTGACCAAGTCAACTGTTGAGCTGTCTCATTATTTCAAGAAACTATCCACCATTTTACAATTGCAGAAAGTGGGGAGTTGCAGCCGAATGGAGGATAACAAAAGAGGGAATTTCAGTCATTCAACACATGGCCAGCCCTACACACAACATGCAAAATTTTAGATTTTCAATTTCTCTGCAACTGCTCACAGATTTCAGATTTTAGCACAGATTCCAGTAGATCTAGGTTGCTTTTCGTCATTCCAGTAGTCAAATTAGTTTCTGCACCTGTTTCAGCAATTTCAATTCATGTATTGAACATCAATCTTTGAATTTATGCAAGGTATTGTTTCTTTTCTGACTGTTGTTCATTTAATATTTATGATAAGTAGTGTTTCATCAAGTGATTACTGATGTGGCATTTACGCTTCTTCTCTATTTTCAGCATGTTAATTAGTTTGTTTTATTTGATAAAAAAATTTCAATTATTATTTACATAATATATTTTATTTAAAATTTTTATATGAAAAATCAAATATGGCTGAGATATAGGAATTTTCGGAAACACGAACTTAGATAAGACGACCTTGGTCGGAGGGGACACATTTTCAAAGTGTCAAATTTTTGAGAGAGAGAGATTTCTGAAGAAGAGGAACTGTAAAAGTAAATTAAATATATATATATATATTTTTGGACATGATGACGGCGATTCCTTAGCCAGCGGCCTCGCCGGTGGGATTTAGAGTGGGACAAGGCCAATGGACGGTGTTGCAGTAGAACTCCACATGTCTAGTGACCGGGCATGGCTTTTGACATCTCTAATGCAGCCTTAAGGGGGATGCCAAGGCGATTCCTATTAGTTCTTCAAGCTCTTCGTCTCCCTCGCAAAGTATCTAAAAGTCCAAATGATTCTAAATGTTATGCTTGTACGACCATACAGCAAGCTCTATGAGTTTAAAACAAAGAAGTATGTGGCATAAATACAAAAAAAAGCTACTCTACCTATTGCCAATTGATTTTAGGCTGGATGCAAATCTTGATCTTGTGTTGAGTTCACATGCACAATTTTCACATAGTATCAGAGCTCAGATTCGGTCATGGAAAGCCCTTTGTCAACCCACCTGATAGGACCCAAAGTTAAAGTTGATACTGAGTTTGCATTTAAGGGGGCATGTTAAGTCACGTGACAAGACCCAACATTCATAGTGGCCCTGCACGTGAGGGGCGTGTTGAGTGGGAAAATCTTACATTGAGTTTAAAACAAAGAAGTATGTGGCTTAATGACGTGGTGCACGTCTTTCTCGTTGTGGCCTCAAAGACTTCACAAGCTGGTTTCCTAAGTCTGTAGTAGGTTGTGAATCAGTTGTTGTCTGTATATTTTGAGTTTCCTCCAATGGCTCATGTTGGTCCATGGATTTGAGTTGGTGAGTATTCTCCTTAGGCTTGTCATGGGAATTGTCACTAGTTAGGGATGCTTTTCAAATGACTGAACTGTGACAGTAAGATTAGATTTGCCTTGATGGTGCTCATTCTCTTTAGACTGATAATAGGTTGGTTTGTTAAATAGCTTTTCAAAGGGGGTGAGTCCTAAAAAGAATGGGTGTAAGAGTTAAATTAATCAAATAGGTGGCTGTAAGTACACACCTCCCCAAAAATTTAAAGGTAAGTTGGCTTGAAATTTGAGTGCCCGAGCTACCTTAAGCAAATGACGATGCTTGCGCTCAACGACATCATTTTGTTGTGGTGTGTTCAGACAAGAAGTTTGCTGTAAAATGCCCTTTTTGAGACAAAAATCTTTTACAAGTCCTTCAATAAATTTCTTTCCATTGTCATTGCAAATTTGTTGAACATGAGTATGGAATTGAGTTTCAATCATTTGATAGAAATTTATCAAGTATAAAGCAGCTTCAAATTTATGTTTCAAAAGATAAACCTATGTGCAATGAGAGAAATCATCAACTATAATAAAAAAATAATGAGCACCTATATTAGAGGGAGTGGCATATCTACCCCAAATGTCACAATGAAGTAAGGCAAATATATGAGTTGAAGTATTATTACTAATAGAAAACGGTAATCGAGTTTGTTTGGCTTTATGGCAAATGTCGCATACATGCTTTATTTGAGGAGAACAAGAACACATGGAAGGGATTTTGGATAAACGTTTAGTAGAAATGTGCCCAAGTCTTTGATGCCACAACTCATATGATGCACTCTGCTTTTGTTTTAGTTGACTAGCTGCTGCAACATGCCCAAACCTGCAATAATACATCCCTTCATGAAGCCTACCCACTCCAATCAGCTTCCTCGAGGTAAGGTCCTAAAAAACACAAAAATTAGGAAAGAAGATCATAGCACAACCAAGTTGTTTGGTTATTTCACTGACTGATAAAAGATTGCAGGTGA